CGGTTCCAGGGCTCCGTGTGCCCCAAAGCCCTCCCTGCCCAGAGTCACCAGAGCCCCCCGAGCAAGCCCCGGGCCCGGCCCTGCTCCACGGGCTGGGAAGAGGGTCCCTACCTGGGCTGGCACTGCGGGTGGGCGCAGGGCGCCGGGCCCCACTTGGCACCGTTGGTGACAGCCGAGTCCCCCTGGCAGCCGCTGTCCAGGACCCGGAGCTGCAGCAGCTCCTCCGAGTTGCTGAAGGCCGGGTTGTCCAGCGAGCTGGCCGAGGGCAGCCCCGAGCCAGACCAGTACTGGGCAGAGACATCGTCCAGGCGGCAGAAACGGCGATAGCTGCGGGCAGGACAGGCACGTGCTCAGGTGTGAGGCACACACAGGTACACACAGGTACAGGTACACAGGTACACACACAGGTACACACACACAGGTACACACACACAGGTACAGGTACACAGGTACACACACAGGTACAGGTACACACAGATACACACAGGTACACACACAGGTACAGGTACACACAGGTACACACACACAGGTACACACACAGGTACAGGTACACACAGGCACACACAGGTACACAGGTACACACACAGGTACACACAGATACACACAGGTACACACAGGTACACAGGCACACACACAGGTACCCACACACAGGCACACACACAGATACACATGCTCATCAGCACATGTCACACATCTGCACAGCAGCACAGCCCTTCAGTGGCACACAGCCCCAGTCCCCAGCAGGCCTTTCTGGCTGCACCCCACGTCCCGTGCCCGGGAGCATCCCCTGGCACCCCGCACATACCCGGGGGGCCGGGGGGCACTGCCGTGGCTCTGGGAGCAGCCGCTCCTGGGCCCCGCAGCTCAGCCCCAGCCCCGCACATCCCAATGCTGCTATCCCAGCGGTGTTTTCCTCTGCAGAGCTCAGCCCCAGCCCCGCACATCCCACCGCCGCTATCCCAGCGGTGTTTTCCTCTGCAGAGCTCGGCCCCAGCCCAGCGGCCCCACCATGGCTTTCCCTGCTGCCCCTCGCCCCCAGCAGAGGCAGGAGTCCCCACAGCCCCCAGGCCGAGCCCCCAGGGCTCCGTGCTCCCACCTGCTGCGGCTCTGCTCGGCCCTGGCCTCCAGCAGCAGCGCCTTGAAGCGGCGGACGGCGAGGACGGCGAGGACGGCGCCCAGGAGGAGGATGCTGAGCAGGACCCCGGCCGCCGTGCCCAGCAGGCCCTGCTGTGTCACCCGGTAGTCACAGCGCAGCCCCACGAACCAGAAATCGCTGCCCACGGGGCACCTGCACCGAGGGGTCCATCAGCGCCAGGGGGACGGTGCCCGGCAGCCCGGGCTGTCCCCGGGGCACTCACCGGCAGCGGGGCTGCTGGTCCCGGCCGTGGGAGCAGATGCCGTGGTTCTTGCAGTAGTCGCGGTGGCAGAGGGAGGTGCAGGTCGCGTTCCCGTCCGCCCTGGCCACGCAGGCGAAGCCGGCCGGGCAGGCGAGGAGCAGAGCGCAGGGGTCCAGTGGCCGCGCTGCAGGGACGGGGCCCGGCCGTGTCACCCCTCCCCGCCGAGCGTGTCCCCACCCTGTCCCCGGCCCCGCGGGACGGCCCCGCACTCACCCAGAGCCTCGTGGCGCAGGATGGGGGCCGTGCCCACCGCCAGCCCCGGCCGGGCACCGGCAGAGCCCAGCGCGGCCCCGAGGAGCCGGTCCAGCCCCCGCAGCTGCAGCTGCTCCGCCGCGAAGAGCGCATCGTAGCGCAGCACCACGCTGCCCTCCCTGCGGGGACAGCACCGCACCCCGGCACTGCTGCGGCCCCGCAGCGTGGGACAGTCCCCGCAGCCCCGCCGGGAGCGCCACACGCTGCGGGGCTGTGCCACCACTCACCTGATCCCTGTCACCTCCAGCCGCAGGAACCCAGGCACCGACGTGAAGAGGGGAGTGACCTGCACAGGGTGGTGGGAGCTGAGCGCGATGGCCCCGGCCCCGGCCCCGGCCCCGGCCCCGGTCCCGATCCCGGTCCCGGTCCCGGCCCGCACTCACCGTCCGGTTGAAGCTGTGCAGCAGCTCCTGGCGCTCATGGGACCCGGGGTCCTGCAGGGCCGGGACGAACCCCATGTCCAGCACCAGCTCACAGGGGATGCGCAGGAGGGATTCTGCAGGAGGAGATGGGGACCAGCAGGTCATGACCCCACCCCAGGGGCCACCGCCACGACCCCCCATGCTGGTGGCCCCCAGGGCTTCTTCCCCCTCCTGCCGTGCCCCAGCAGAGGATCCCGAAACCTCAGACTCACCTCTCAGGAGTGGGGGCTGATCTTCCACTATGAACACCTGGGGGGCCCTGCCCACCCCAGCCAGTGTCACCTGCGGGGTGTGAGTGTCTGTCATCCCTCTGGGGCTGCTCGATGGCTGGGCCAGGTCTGTGTCCACAGCAGCTGGAGGGGACCCAGGGCCCCCACCATGGGACTCTGTGGGCTGCTGGGGAGGCCCGGGCACCAGAGTGGGCACATGAGTTGGGGACCCCCGTGTCAGCCCCACCACATCCCTCTGCAGTACGGCAGCACGCGGCTCAGCTGTGACCGTCCCCATGTCCCCGAGCACTTCTGGGCTGCTGGCAGTTGTGACGGTGGCAGTGACACCGAAGGTGGTGGTGACGCCAGTAGCCGTGCTCAGTCCCAGGGAAGACGCAGGCTGGGAAGATGCAGGCTGGGACAAAGCTGGCTGCTGGGAAGGCCCAGCTGCTGAGGCGGGGGCCAGGCTGCCCACCCCCAGCTGGGTCCCCCCCAGCGATGGAGAGCTCTCAGCAGGACCCACCCTCGAGCTGGAGTGGGACAACTCTGGGGAGGGGTCTCCCAGGGTGGTGCCCACAGCAGGGCTGAATCCCAGGGCCCCCCAGGCAGTGCCGGGGGAAGGCAGCAGGGTCACTGCAGAGCCACTGCCTGGGACAGGCTGTGGGGACGGGGGGATATGGGAGGATCCAGGACTGGTGTGTGTCACCTGAGCCACAGCTGTGCTGCCAGGGGACAGGGGGACAGGGAGCTGCCCTGGGATGGCTGACGGGCTCAGGGGGATGTGACTGTGCTCAGGGGGAACCTCTCTGTCAGGTGGCCCCAAGACCCCTGTGGTGAGCTCCAGGGCTCCTCTCTGGCCAGGAGATGTCACCCCTGGGGTGCTGGCCATGGTGGTGGGGAGAGGCAGACCTGAGCCCCTGCGTGTGGCAGGCAGCAAGGCTGGGCCTGTCCCCACGGCTGGCCGGCCTGTGCTGGCCAAAGGGCCCCCACCAGGCCCAAGGGACAGTGCAGAGGGGCGAGGGGCAGAGCGGGGACCCTCCTGTGGGTGGGAAGCAAAGCCCTGGCCTCCTGACAGCCCTGGCAGCCCCCAGTGCGTCCCCTGCAGTGTCCTTGTGGGGGTCAGTAGCCTCTGCAGTCCCCCAGCAAAGGGTGATGTCCCTGTCGTCCCTGGTGCTGAGCTGGCAGTGGCCAGCACGGTGCTCGGGCGGGTCCCTGGGCTGCTGTCACCAAGCTGGAGAATGTCATTCTGGCTCTGCACGAGGTCTCTCCCAATGGCCCTCCATCCCCTCGGGGTGCTGCTGGACCTCCACTGTTCCCTGGCAGAACCTGGCACTGTCACAGAGGGTGGTGAATGCGAAAGCGTTCCCTGCGCTGTCGTGGCACCTTCTGCTGTCCCACGTCCTGCAGGGTCAGTGCCCGGGGGGTGCGCGGTTTCAGGACCTGTCTCTGCCTCCCCAGGGGCTGCACTGGTCACCCCCAGAGCGGCAGGGGACGGCAGCTCCCTGCCTGCAGAGACCGCGGGCCCCCGGGGCTGGGGGCTTGTCCCACCCCGCACCGCCGGCCCTGTCCCCTCCCTGCCCAGCCCGGGGGTTCTGGGGCTCTCCTGAGGCCTGGAGCTCTCGGCTGTCCCCGCGGGGGTTCCAGGGAAGGGCAGCAGTTCAGCCTCTGTCCACAGCTGCCCCACGGCCTCTGGTGTGGGCGCCTGGCCGGTGCCGGCTCCGCGCTGCGGGCGATCTGCGGGCAGAGGCAGAGCGGGGACACTGAGCAGCTCCGACCCACGCCGGACCCACGGCAGCCACCGCGGGCCCCACCGCACGTGGCTGGCACTCGGTGCCACCGAGGGCTCAGGAGGGAGGGCTGTACCTGTCCGGCAGCGCTCCCCCGCCGCCGGGCCCAGGTGGGCGCAGGGGTCGGCAGCGCTCAGAGCAGAGCCCGTCCCGCTGCCCAGAGCGGGGCAAAGCCGAGCGCAGCATTCCACGAGCACTGGGAGAGAGGGAAAGGAGCAGCGTGCACCAGTGCTGGGCATCGAGCATCCTGCGCCAGCACCGGGCACCGACCCCGGAGCGACCGCTGAGGGTGGGGGTCTCCTTCTCCCTTCTGTTAACCGTGGGTGGCTGTGCTGAAGGGATGCTCCGGAACAACACAAACCCAGCTGGGGACCACCTGCCCCGGTCCCAAAGAACGGTGCCGAGTCCTGCCCCAGCAGCTCACTCTGTCCGTGCTGGGAGCCCCCGGCTCACCCCGAGCCCGACCACCCTCGGGCACAGCCGCCACTGGCCAGCAGCGGGTCCGCGGGCAGGGCACGACCCCAGCGCCCGAGCAGCGCTCCGGGCAGAGCCTCCGGGGCCCCTGGCGGCTCCTCTCCATCTCCAGGGATAGCGGGCGGTGACTGCCCGAGAGGGGCTGGGACTGCACGGGGCCACCACGAGCCCAGCGGGCCCCGCTGTCCCCAGCGCCACACCGGGGCTCCCGCAGGGGCAGCACCCGCCGCCCTCGAGACCACGGAGTCACCCGGGCTGGTGGCACAGCTTGGCACGGAATGGCCAGAGCTGGGCACGGAATGGCCAGAGCTGGGCACGGAATGGCCAGAGCTGGGCACGGAATGGCCACGGCACGCGGCCGGCGTGCCCGCCCCGCTGCCCGCTCGCCCCGGTGCCCCGCGGCCGGGCCCACTCTGGGCAGCTCCCAGCGACACCGAGCAGCAGCCACCGCCCGCAGCCCCAGCGCCATCGGGGACACGGACCCTCCCGGTGCCGGTACCGGCCCCGCCGCCGCCGCAGAGCGCCGGGATGCACCGGCCCTGCCGCCGCCGCCCCCCGAGCGCAGCATCCCCCGCCCAGGGAGCGGCGGGGCCGGGGACCCTTCCCAGCTGTGCCCCCCTCCCCCGCCCCGCTCACCTGCGGCCGCCAGGAGCCGGGGCAGCGGCGGCCGGGCCCGGGGCAGCGGGAGCCGCGGCCGCTCCATGGCGCGGTGCGGGCGGCTCTGCCGGCGGCGGCAGGAAACCCCCGCCCGCTCCCGCTGCGGCGGGGCGGAGGCGCCGGGAACCGCAGCCCCCGGCCCGGGCCCGCCCCACGGCACCAGCACCGGCACCAGCACCGGGCCCGGAGCTCCCTCCCTCCCTCCGGGCCGGGCGGACCGGGGCTCGGCAGCGGGACCCACCCCGGGACACTCGGCTCAGCTCGGGGCCGCCGCCTGCGGGACTCGGGGCACTCACAGCTCCGGCCTGTCCCCCTCCCACCGCTTCATCCCGGGACACTGCTCTGCCCCGGCTGTCCCCACGCTGTGAGCTGTGCCAGGCCAAGGGCTCCCCCAGGACACCGGTGTCAGCTCTGGCTCAGTCCCTCATCTCAGCCCTCAGGGTCACCACACCCAGCAGAACCCAGCGACCACTCCCCACCATCATCTTGTGTCTACACCATGGGGAAACCACCACAGACACAGCAGCCAAACCCAGTGTCCCCAGTTCTGCTCTGCAGCTGCTCAGAAAACGTCTCAGGGCTCAGCCAGGCTGTGGAGCCACGGAGAACTTTCCAAGGGCACAGTGAGTGCAACACTTGTGCCCTGGAGCAGAGGGTCGCTCACTGCTCTGCCAGGGATCTCAGGGAAGTGCAGCTCCTGAGAACACCCCACCACAACACAGCAGCACTGCAGCCTCTGCTCCGTTTTCCATCCTTACCTCCCCCATTGCCAGAGAATCTGTTATCCAGTGACACCTCCTTGGCTCCCAGCCTGGCAGTGCTGCTGTGATATGTCAGTGTTTCTCCACTCTGAGGAAAAAGCTGTGCAGTGCTCAGAAATAACCTGTTCCTGCCTCGTGAGGGTTAAAGCAAGGCTCCCGTGCTGAGATGAACCGGGTGTACAGGAACAGTAACGTGAATTTGCTGTTCAGCAGCAGGAAAATCATCCCCCCTCCCCCTTATTTTCCATCAGGAAAGCAGAAGCCTTTCACACAGAACTTGTTTTCACCAGCAGTGATGAAATAAACAGTTATAAACATGCAGAGCAGAGCCAAATCTCGGGGCAGGGTCCCCAGAGTGTCCTTCACTCCCCAACACCACCACCAGGATCCACCCACTGTGAGAGACAGAACAGCCACCACCAGAATGGTCTTAACTCTTTATTCCTGTTTTTTTCTGTTTTTTAAAGGACAACACATTCAGACAGTTTTAAATACAACATCCACGTGCAGCTTCCCAATGAAGGCCTCAGTGGGACAGCGTGTGCGCTCCCATCCATCCCTGCCGGCACCAGCCCAGTCCTGGTGTGGGACAAGTCCTGGCAAACCAAAATCCACATGTTTTAACATCTCATCAAGCATTCACAGGTACAGCAGTGGGTCAAGACATGCTGAGCGCTGAACACAGGGCACAGAAGGAGCCCCCAGTTCTCCCCAGAGGCCACGGCTCCCACCCCGGCCCTGGGCAGAGATGGGTCGTAGCCCCCCTGCCCCAGGGAGTTGGGGGGAAGCCTGGAGCCACACAGGAACAGGCAAGAATGCGGATCAGTGCTGCAGGCTGGCCTGAGGCCACCTCATTTCCCCTGCAGCCCTCCCCGGTCGCTCCTATAACCCTTTCCTGCCCATTTCCTTCCCGGCTGTGGCGGAGGAAACGGCAGCGGCGGCAGGGGCTGAGGTGCCCCCGCACGCCCTGCACAGGCCCGAGGGGCACAGGGAGATGGGGGCCGTGGCTGAGACCAATTTGCCACCCTCTGCTGCCCCAGGGAGCAGCCAAGTGCTGGATGTGCCAGGCAGGAGGAGAGGCTGAGCCCCACGTCCTCTCTCCAGCTGCAGGTGCCTCAGGAAAACACCCCCCACCCTCAGGAAAACACAGCCCACTCACCCTCCCTGCTGCTGCCAGCTCCCTCCGAGCTGCCTCACATCTCCCTGCTCTGCCCCCAGCCCGGTGTGTGCCCAGGCACCCTCAGAGCACCCCTGAACTCACCTCTGAGGAACTGCTTCACTCATAAATATCCTTCTTATCTGCAATGTAATCTACAATCTCCTGTGGGCACATCAGCTTCTCTGCATCTCCATCAGGAATTTCAAATCCTGCAAGAAAGGGCACCCGCTCAGCCCAAAACCAATGGAAGTGGGAGCTGGGCGAGGCAGGGATGGCTGCTGGCTCAGGGGACAGGCAGACAGCCGGAGCTGACGCTGCATCACTGCACTGCCCAAAGTGACACCACTTCCACACAGGGGACACGGCAGGCACAGCAGGGCCACTGCCCCTTGCGCCTCGTTAAAGCCACCAGTGCCTTCCCAGAGACCCCCAGACCCCGATGTGTGGCAGGGGGACGCTCCTGGACCTCCAGGCAGCACCTGAAGCAAACACCAGGACAGGGCAGTAGGGCTCTTGGTGGTGGAACCCGTCAGAAACAGCTCAGAAATGTCTTTTCTTTTTAGCATTTCCTGGCCACGCTCACAGTTCACTTGGGGATTACAGACACGCTGCCAGAAAAGGCTCTGAGAGTGAAACATCCACCTTGGGCTTAGACAGTGACCAAACCCCAGGGACATCTATGGCCCAAGGTGACATTTAGGTACCTGCTCCAGAATTCATGAGCTTTAGAGGGAAGCGTGAAGAAGTCCAAGGGAAGTAAAAAGAATATAAACCGATAAGGAGAAAGCACCTTTTTTTTTTCTCTAGTACAATTAAGGATGAAAAAAATTCTGGTGAGCAAGAACAACCTGAACTGTCTGGGATTTTTGATCTGCAGTGCCAAGCTCAGCACCCACCGCTCCCCTTCCCCCCTCCTTGGGTGGTGCCCATGGGGGGTGGGAGAGAATTCATCCTTCCAAACGGGCTGAGCTCTGGAGCAGAGGGCCACATTCCCGACTCCCAGGGGTGCTCAGCTCACTGCTGGCTCTGGAGATTCACCCTGCTCCCAGGGATTTCTCTGGACGTTCACCCTGCTCCCAGGGATTTCTCTGGACGTTCACCCTGCTCCCAGGGATTTCTCTGGAGATTCACCCTGCTCCCAGGGATTTCTCTGGACGTTCACCCTGCTCCCGGGGATTTCTCTGGACGTTCACCCTGCTCCCGGGCTGGCTCTGTGCGTTTCTCCCTGCCCCACACGGCACAGGCCAGCGCTCCCACGGCCCGGTCCCCCCCCGGCAGCCCCTGGCGCCGTTACCGAACTCGTCCTCCATGGCCATGATGATCTCCACTTGGTCCAGACTGTCCAGGCCCAGGTCCTTCATGAAGTGGGACTCGGCTGTGAGCTGGGGGAGGACACGGCGGTCAGCGGGACACGGGCACGGCCGTGCCCGCGCCGGCAGCTCCCGTTCCACCGGAGCCCGCGGCCCTGCCGCCTCCCCCCGTCCCGCTCACCTTCTCGGGGTCGATCTTATCGTAGAGCTTGAGCACGTAGAGCACCCGGTCCTTGATGTCGGCCAAGGTCAGGGGCGGCAGCTCGGAGAAGCCGCGGCAGAGCGGCGCGGCCACGCTGGGCAGCCGGAGCAGTGCGGGCGGCGCGGGGCGGCCCGGCGGGGCGGGCGGCAGGCGGCGGAGCGAGCGGAGCGCGGCGGGGCGGGCGGGCAGCGGCCGCAGGCGGCGGGCGCAGGACGAGAGGACACGGGCCGCCATCGTCGCTGTCCCGGCGGGCCCCGCGCGGCGGCACCGCCCGCTGCAGCGCCCTCTGCCGGCCGGCGGCCGCAGCGCCCCGGGCCGCGATCCGGCTGTACCGGGCTGTACCGGGCCGTGATCCGGGCCGTGATCCGGCTGTACCGGGCTGTACCGGGCTGTGATCCAGGCTGTACCGGGCTGTGATCCGGGCTGTGATCCGGGCTGTACCGGGCTGTGATCCGGGCTGTGATCCGGGCTGTACCGGGCTGTGATCGAGGCTGTCCCGGGC